AATCATTTCCTTCAAGAGGGAAAGGAGGCCTTGGCTGCCTCCCGAACAGGCAAGTCTAGACGCTTCAGTGTCAACAGTTGAAGATAAATAAGATTTTATCAGCTCCGAATCTGTTGGGACACATCCTTCTAGCGGTTCTGCTGCCCGCGCAGGGCCGGGCGAGATGGACTGCGCCGGGAGGTCTGTCCAGGCAGAGGATTCAGGCTGGGTTTTGTGCAAGGCTGTCATCATCCATGGGGAAAACCATCTCTTCCTGCGTGGGGAGGCAGCCCCAGGGCTGAGCACTGCAGTGGCCTCTGGAGCGGGTCCTGGTCCTTGGTCAGGGTGGGCAGCAGCGGATGCTGAGGCTCCATGTCAGTGCTGCATCCACAGGCCTTTGTGGGGCATTGGCTCATCGGGATCCTGTGGTGTGCAGAGCACACCTTGGGGCAGTGGCACCAAGATAAACATGGTAAAGCCTCACAGCAGCCAATGGCACCAGGGGCTCTGTCCCTCGGCTGGATCTGTGTCCTGTTACACCTGGCACTGGTGCACTGAGGTCTCATCTCACCAAAGAAGCAGCCACATCTCAAACACATCCAAAGACCCTTAGGGAAAGACCTCAGTGCTGATATACTGCTAGGGTTTAGATAACTTGGCTTTTCCAGTTATTTCTAGTGTTCTGCAGGATGGGCAGCAGCAGCAGGGAACGGATGGAGATGGAGCTGGCATTATGGTGTCAGCCAAGCAGCCGAGGGTGACACTGGAAGCTGCAGGAAATCCCAGAGGAATACAGGTTCTGTGTGTTTCCATAGGCTTCAGGGAGCCTGTCAGCACTGCTGCTGCTCTGTGCTGGTTGGAGCAACCCAGCAGCCACAAGCCACAGAAACCTGTTGTGCTCCTCAAACACACAATAACAGGCACTCTGATGTTTTCCAGGAACAGAGACGACCTTGGTACTAACACAAGTGTGGAGTCAGACATCAGCAGCTCCCAGGGCAGAGCAGGGACTGAAAACACAGGCAGGAGGTACCCAGGGCAGAACATACCCAGGCTCCTCTATGGGTGTGAAAGGAATCCTGCTCCTGAGGTCTGGATGTGCCAGGAAGGTGTCCAGGTGTCCCAAGATGTTGTTCCTGTGCCCGGCAGCAAGTTGGCAGCAGAGTGAGTGACCTGAGCTTTGTGACCCAGTGTGGCCAGTCTCGAGAGGTCAGTTTGTCCAAGTGCTGTGGAATGGGGAGGATGTGAGTGAACAGCACAAGGTTCTGCCAGTGCAGGTGGCACAGATGTAGCCGTGGCAAACCAAGAGCCAAAGCAGTGAGGAGGCTGCACTGGCTTGGGATTAAATCCTGGTGTTTTGATCTCTGGTTCCTGCTCTGTCACTGTCTCATCCTGAAGCTGAGGACTGTGCAGTGCCTGTGCTCCTTGTGGCTGTGCTGGGAGGTACCAGGGCCTCAGGTGATGCAGCACAGCCTGGCACAGAGATGGGCACGGGGCAGATAATTAGCAAGTACAGATAACGAGGAGGAGAGAGGTGCCTGCTCAGTGGAACCTTGCTCAGTGCAGATTTGGCTGTCCCCTACGGAGAAGGTGCATTGCCAAGGGCTGTTCCTGGCTGGAAGCACAGCTGGGGATGTAGAGCCTCCTGGGATCCCAAACAGACAGTGCTGGTTCTCCTGGTGGCCGTGGCCAGGCTGGGTCTGTGGCACTGGGAGTGCTGAGCCCCGGCAGTGGTGGCAGACCCAGCACAGGAGGGCTCCACACTGTGAGGAGTCGGGAGCGTGGCCGCCCAGGGCACAGCCCAGACTTTTCCTGCCTGGGATTATCAGCACAGAGTTCCTTAAAAGAATGGTTTGTTAGAGTGGAGGGATCTTTGAAGGCGATCCTGGAGCTGTTGGGACACGATAAGGTTATCAGTGGAGACATGCCTGCACCTTCCCCCCGCAGGGAATTGCTCTGCTATTTAACTGAGATTTATCCATGTCATAACATGGTATAACAAGAGAATTTGTTACCAAAGAACTTGCCATAATGCACCTCTGCTCTTCCAGAGCAGTTATAGTTCCCAGGCATGTTGAGGGCTGCCCGGGAATGCCTACATGAAAGGATCCTTTGACAGGAGTTGTCAGTATTTTAACACCTGGCAAGGGAGAGCCCCCTCCAAATAACCCTTGTTTTGCCACGGTGGCTCCTCAAACAGAGGGCATTAAACCCCATTGTGGTGGGCAAGTGGGTTCCATGGGCCACAGCCACGTGGGAGCTTCATCTCCAGCGGGGCAGGGGGAGTCACTGCATTCCCAGTGGAGCCCGTGGGCCTGATCCCTGCTGGGGATGTGGGATCAGAGCTGGGAGCTCACCTGGCCATGCAGTCAGCATTATCCAGTGTCAGTGCAGAACTTGGGCAGTCCAGTAGCAGGTGGTGTTTCCAAGGTCCCCTCTCCTGCTGGGTGAGTCCATGTACCTCCACAAAGGAGGGTTAACTCTTGCTCCCTCCTGGTCACACCCTCCAGGGACCACAGCATCGTCCTGCTCTCCCCAGTGCTGAGCAGGCTCTAACCCCAGGACACCTCACTGTTGCGCCTCCAGGACCTGGTACCTGCTGCCAGCCTGACCCAACACATCCCCACACTGCAGGAACTGCTGCTGCTGTTTGCCTTGGGAGAGCCTGTGCCTTTTATGCCTTCCCAGAACTCTCCTGGAGACCACCTCAACGAGACAAACCTGGAAATGGTTTATCTCCTTTGCCCCTGTCTCAGTCCCTGAGGTGGTGGGAGCTCCTCACTCAGGCACAGGTGGCTCCAATCCTGCAGCCAGGGCAGGGAGACACAGATCCTTCCTGCCTGATCCACAGCTGCACTGAAACACACTCATGGCCAGGAAAAGTGGGGACTGGGCCATTCATGTCAGCCCCTGAATCTGCTCCCAGACCCATTTGAGCAGCTGCTGAGCCCCCTGTTTTGGGCAGCCCAAGCTCAGGAATCCCCCTGCACCAGGAGAGCAGAGCAGAGCTGCAGCCTCGCTCCCCTCAGCACACATGTATTTGGATGGCTCAGGACAAGCTTTAACATCCCCACAAATACTCTGCACGGTGGTATTTTTTTGGCAGCAGGCATTGTGTTGTGGGGATGAGATAAAATACCTTGAGCAGGAACATGCCCTGCCATGCAGGGACGGGCGCAGGGGTGGGCTCGTGTGTAGCAAACACATTCCTTGTGAGATGGAAAACAGCATGGCACGGCTCGGAGGGAAGGGAGTTGCACATCCCCACACCTGGGAGCCTGGGTAGTTCCTGGAAGGTGAAGGACACATTCTCCTTCCCCAGCCCTGCTCTGGAGCAGCTCAAGCTGCAGCCCCAGGAGCTGCCCCCGTTCAAGGTCCTTGTGAGAGGAGTTTGCCACTGAGCAAACCCATCTTCCCTTCCTCACAGGGAGGAATTTGGTGGCCGGAAACTGTTTTCAATGCAGAGGTGGCTGCAGGTGCTGTCTCCAGCTGCCACAGAGCATCCTCCTCCCATGGCCACCCCGGGCAGTGGTCGTGTCCCCATCATGTCCCCACCATGTCCCCTCCACGAGCCACTGCTGCTGCAAAGGATCGAGCTGGGGTCAGGACAGATCTGTCTGTGCCAGAATTAAACTCCCAGGTCCTGTATAATTAGCCATGACACTTTTAATGACATTAAGCACGATTTCCTCGGGCTGTGGTGTTCCCAGCCCTTGGTGCTCCCAGCTCTCCACTCAGCCACAAGCCTGGTGCGAGAACAGACTCAGGGAAGTGTTTCAGAATGGGCTGAATGATGCCTGAACGAGGTGGCTGTAACTGCTTCACGTGGAAAGTGGATACCACACAGTGTGGGTGAAATGGGTCAGATTTCAGTATTTCCAGGGGAAAGGGAAGAGAAGGGAGCCCTGTGTTTACACCACAGCGGAGGAAGCCAAGGGTGGGCAGGGGAGCACCCGCTGTCCCCTCAGTGACGTTCTCCTGACG